GTGTGTAGAGTTGCCAGGTACCTGGCATTTTCACCTCTGTCCAGGGAAAAATTCAGAAAATACCGGACATCTCAGGTGTCCAGTAGTCTCTGAATTTTTTTTACTGGGCAGGAGCCAAAAATACCAGAATGTCTGGGTGAATACTGGACACCTGGCAACCCTACCCTCCACACCCCCCCCCTAGTAGCCGGGCCTGTTCCCGGCTGCTTCTGGGGCTCAGCACAGCCTGTGGTGCAGGACAGGCCGGGAGCTGCCTTAGCCCCACCCTCCACTTCTCACCTGATCCCCCGGCAGCAACGAGACCCAGCGCCCGACAACCCACCCCCAAGTGCTGGGTCACGACCTGTTTGAAAACCTCTGGGCTAGAGGGGTTCAGACTCTGTGGCAAACTTTACAATTCAAATGCATCTCTACATGAAAGGCCAAAATCTAACTCCAGAAACGTAGTCGGGAAATTTTTCTCTCTCTCCTTCTAGAGAGATCTAGGCAAAGAACTCGCAAGGATTGTGAGGAAGATTGATTTTAAAACAAAGGAAGCCAAGCTTGGAACATTTGCAGGTAGCTAACCAGCAGATGATGCATACTCTGTGTTAACGAGCCGTCTCATTCGCCTGCCCTTCACAAATGTGCAAAGAATCATTCCCAAGCTAATAACACCACTAAAAAGAGCCAAGCGCTGCAGTTAATCAATCCCTGAACACAGATACAAGTTTCACATTGACACAGCATCTCTTGTCAAAGTATGCGGTGAAATGATGAACAGACATCTTTTGGCTTTCAGAATAAGTATTCCTTGTACAAAAGTGTACCCAACCTGCAAGTGGGCATTTGGTATCCTGAAGAACGACAAGATAAAGATCTATAACATAGAATTAGAGAGTCCAGGGTCTTGGAGTCTACTCTGTCTAAGGCAGGTGTGGGGAACCTTTTTTGGGGTCGGGAGGTGGGGGGCGCTGACCCACAGAAAAATCAATCGGGAGTGAGAAGCAAAAAACACCAAAAGAACAAAAACCAAGCCCCCAAACTGATATGGCCCCTGAGAAGGAGAAAGACACCCCGTCTCACACACCAGAGTCTCGGGGGGCCTAGGCTAGTAGCTTTTGTGCACTCCAGCCCCACAGAGGGACAATGGAGGGGGGGGGGGTCTGGAACTCTAGTGCGGGTTCCCTAATGCTGAGGGGGAGCCCCCAACCTGAGCAGCCCAGATCCAGGCAATCTGGGGGCCACCGCATCCCTGGGCTACAATTAAAAAAAGGACATAAAGGCAGTTTGCAACAACACCAGCATGTGCCCTTAAGTCTTCTTGTTAATTTTAACACTAGCCCTCCCCCCCTTTTATTTTCCCATTTTTCAAAAATTGTTTCTCTTCCCATTTGTGTGAAAGACCTATAGGGGAAGTCATTAAAATGACTCTATCCAAGGTTGCGTTCAACGTACAAAGTCAACAAACTGGAACAAAACAAAAAGAGGCGTTTCTTTTTCTGTCCAGTCCCATGCATTATTTCCATCAGGAGAATTTTTAAAAAGTCACTTTTCAAGCTACCTGCTTAATTGGAAAGTAGAGCGAGGCTATTTTACATACGTGTAACCCAACCCCATTAGCCTTGTGGGGACATTTACCTCAGCCCCTCACGCAGATGATATAACTGTATGCGCCAGAGAAGATTCCAGAGACCTATCTGTACACCCATTTCCAAAAGGGTGCATACAATCGTGCTGAGTGTGTTCAAGCGGAAACCAGCAGTACTATGCCCTCATTTTTGCTTGGTCCCAGTGTTGTTTAGAGTTTGTGTTACACAGCAAAGAAGAAAAATAAAATACGGTCCAACCTGCGCAAACTTGACTACATTAGTAGGATCTCTGTGTGCGGCTATTGTCCTAAGTTTATTAGACTCATAGACTTTAAGGTCAGAAGGGACCATTATGATCATCTAGTCTTTGAGTGCGTCTACACTGCACCATTATTTTGAGATAACTAGCGTTATTTCGAAATAACAATGCAAGTGTCTACACAGCCATTCCGTTATTTCAAAATAACTTCAGAATAATGGGTGGCTTATTCTGAAATCTGTAAACCTCATTCTACAAGGAATAATGCCTCTTCAGAAATAACTATTTCGAAATAAGGGGCGTGTAGACGCTCCACTGCGGCTATTTCGAACTAGGCCCTCTGCGGGGCAATTCTAAGTTATTCCTCCCCGGTGCCTGGTGGGGTTCTAAATCGAGATAGCACGTCTACATTAGGGAAGCCTGCCTCGGACTCATTTTGAGGTTTCCCTGCAGTGTAGACGTGCTATTTTGAAATAACTATTCCGGAATAGCATATTTCAAAATAAGTGTGCAGTGCAGACGTACCCTTTAAGATCGCACAAGTACTGGGACCACAATTAAGCCTTATGCTGTAAAAAAAAAAGGGCATTTTAAACGCTTAGAAAAGCACAAGCACTTACACCCTTGTAAGGCAGCTTCTTAAGCACTTAAACCTCTAACACATACTGACAATTTCATACTTAGGGTCTCAAAGCAGCTTACGTTCTCCAAAACTGACTAGCATCTGCCGACAGATGAATGTAAGTGAGCACTTAAAACAGAGAGACGTGGTCTGGCCATCTAAGTGCCAACCTGGGGCATGCATTGTCAATACGCAGTGTTGTTTGCTGATACATTTCCCCTCCACTGCAGCTCCCCAAACTCTTATGGGGTGGGGGGCACATGCCTGAAGAGTGTCTGAAGCATGCAGTGCCAATTGGAACCTTGGTTTGACAAACTGAGGCTGTGTTTTTAAGATGGGCTCCTCCTCCGACTTCCTAATTTGGCCTCACTCACATGAATGGTTTGCTCCGAAGCATTAGCTACCTTTCTCTCTTATTTTCTGTTGGGCAAACCCTAGAATTAGTCGAGGTGGATAATACCCGCCTGTACTACTCCATTCTTCGCCAAAGAAAATCATGCCAGATGCAGCAGGCGCGTCATCCAAACATAGAGCAGCACAATGAGAGGTGTGTTTAGTCACCTTTTGGAAAGGGGTAGGGTGTAGTTAGTGCAAAGTGTTACTGTCCGCCATCTTGGTTTTTCCACAGACAGTAGGGAGTCGCTGCTTTTGAGCTGGTCTCCTGTGTATTTTTATATAAGCTCTTCAGAGGCTCCTATCCTATTGGGATTTTTAAAACAAGTGAGATTTTTTGGTGGTTTTTTTTAAGGTTTCAGCATATGTTAGATTTTTGGTTTTCATATGACTATTCCTTCCCAGCATAGTCCAGCCATGATAAAAGGAAACCATAACCCTGAAGAGCATTACACTGGGGAGTTCAAAGGTTCCTCTCCTTCATCCTCAGTAAGTATTTCCTGTAAACAAACTCAAGTAGCTCAAACACTTCTGTGCTGCACAGAGCCAGGAACCATCTGGAAATGGCTTCCCACCCCTTTGTGGAGAAGAAATGATTTGTGTGGCGCAAGGATAACTGCTATCAGCTCCCTGGCATGAGTTGGGTCTCTTGCCTGATTTTTTTTTTTTTGGATGAATGGCTGTTTTGGGGGGCTGAGATTCAATGGCTGATCATATCAGGTAGGAGTCTCACACAACAAGCCAACACAGCTTGGGAGAAGGGTGGAGGTGAAGCTTTCAGTGTCTGGAAGGAAGGAAGGAAGGAAGAAAGGAAGGAAGTGTGCCCCACCACAAACAGACCTCTGAGACTTAAAGGCCACCAATCCACCCAGCTACATAACCCAGCATGATGAATCTTGAGTTGCAGAACAGGAAAAGAAAGGCTAGAAAGGGATGAGAGCCAGAATGCTTGGGGAGAGGCGCTCCCCAGATGTGTTAGGATAGTGCGGGAGGGGGGTAAGATGCAAATTGCTAGGATCAGGAGAGTTATAAAAATTAAAGAGCTTTTTATGCGAGGAGAAAATAACAAAAATACATGGTTTCATTTGCCTAGGGTTTTAGCTCCCCTCCATACCCACAATGTCCAATCTTCCTCACGGACATGCTTAGCATACCGAAAGTTTGCGAAGGAGACATGAAAAGCTATAGCTCCACCCACTCTGGTCGCATTATCACAAGTGATTAAGGAAGGACAGTTAATTCCCAACCAACAGAAGGATAATTTGATGCGGAGCATCACATGGGGGCCTACCACTAAGGCTGTGTCTAGTTCTGGAGAA